AATATCTCAAGGCAAGAACACTTGTTTAATGATCAAGTCAAGCTTAAATGATTCTAAGCATGCAATATAAACTACATAAAATTGCAAAAAAAAAAAAAAAAACTTAACGCTTGGCTAAAAGAAAGCACAAATATTCTTTTTACTACATTTTCAAAGTCTATTTTACATAGACAACATACATGGCTTTATGTAGCATCAAAATGAAACCCTTAACCTTTTACGAGGCATTTTAAGAGTTATAACATTCATATTTTATGATCATAGTTAGCTCCTATGGAAGTAAATAAAAAGTCCTAAAATACATTAACAAAACACTATAAGTCTAGATTATCATTCACTCAAAATTTGTAATGATCCAAGAATAAATTAAGCTTGAATCTTCTATAACGTGGCATGAGTTGCAACTCGAGTTCATCTCGTGGTAATTTGAACAATATTTTTTTACATATTTCTTGAAGTTCATATGGCATGATTGAGATGTCTTGTACTAACCTGTCTTATGATAGTAAAATATGCATCCAGAGTGCCTGAATAACGTCTAGGCACCCCAGCTGGCAACTTTCCTTCAGCTTGAAGGCGAACCTTGACAAGATCAGTTGGATTTGCCACAGAAATTGCTACGGCACCTGCCAAAATAGGAATCACAAAACTCTCAGCAGATTTGACAGGAGAAATAATTGAAGGGAGGAAGAAGAGCAATGATAACAACAAGAATATTGCAAGAACTTCAATTTGGGATAAGGAGATTGATAATGCTATCACGATGAAAAAGGTTTAAGACCAAAGATCTACCCACCAGTAAACAAAGCAGCTAAGATCTTCTGATGTAGAGGTATATCTCCAACAAAATTGTTGCCTACTAAATATAGTTTAACCTGTCTAGTGCATAGTTCGTAGTTAGTGTGGCATATAAAAAGCAGAGTATAGTCGTTTACATCCATCACTTTGCAAAATCACTGCACTCACAGGATCATATAGCCCGATCCTTAGGCCGCCATAAATACACTGGCGATGTAATCCTGCAATAACTCCTTTCCAAAGAGCTGGTAAACCTTCTTCCCTAGCAATGGTGGCGATAGTTCCCATTAATCCCCTATATCTAGATTGACCCATCCCATCTGCGGCAGCTGCTTTCTTCTGCAGCTGAAGCCGTACTTTCGCAACGTCCAAAGGAATGGTACATAGCTACACAATTCCAAACAAAAAACTGAACTACAATAACAGTAACAACAAAACAATAATCTGCAGCCAAGAATCCGATGAACGTAATCGAAAATTACCTCCGCAACGCAAGCGGCAAAAGCACTGCATAGAAATGTCTGAAAGAATGAGAAATCGGTCTGGGACTGAGGATCTGCCATTTCAGGACGGAAGAACAGAGCTAGAGAACGGGAATTGCAAACGGCAAGGGGAACGACGACGTGAATAATGCTCAAATGCGGTAGAGTAGTGAAATTAGGGTTGGAGATAAATAATTGAACTCGAAACGTAATAAAGAAGCAAAGGTACGTCGATGAAACCGGTTAAGATGGCCACCATTGACGGCCGATCAAATCCTAATCAGCTCTTTGCTCAGCGGTAGCTGTCGTATCAAGTATTCCCTGGGCGTATCAAATCCAGTAATACTCTACCCTCTGAAACTCAGATTGGTATTGCAATAGATGAAAATGACAAATCCACCGCCGGCGATAAGCTGGGGGATCGGAAGGCCCGCCACCAGCAGCTTCCTCCGACGGCGAAATGATCTTTGAACTACTTTTCGATCTGAACGAATCGCATCACATGGCCCTCGTACTTGAAAATTGCTACACAGTAGAAGGCGGTTCTTAATTTGTATGAGCACACACACGAACAGAAGAACGGACAACAATCAATTTATTAAATACTTTTTGGATTATCTGCAAATTAAACGCTTTATATTATTTTTTTTCTTTTTAAATAAATATAATAATTGTGGTGTATAAAACTGGAAAATAAATCAAGAGTATTTCATCTCCACACAATTTGAATATCTTATTAAAAACTAATTTTTTTTTTCCACTACGATGAACCATGGGCCTAATGACAAGCCCACATGAAAATTATGGGCCGACAAAGAAGCCCACGGTGGAAATTGAGTGAAAGGAACAACCTCTTGGCCCATAATATATGGGCCTTATATGGAACAATAAACGAAAATGAATAATGGGCCTACAGAAAAGCCCATTTTGGATAGTCGGGGAAATGGGCCTTACTTGATAGACTATCCATGGGCCTAAAACGAGTAGAGACAGTGTTTTAGAGGCCCAACATAAAGCCCACAATGAGGAAACATTATCGGCCCAGGTTTAATGGGCCGAACTGAAAGCCCATAGTTGAAATACGGTGAGAATCCCGCCTCTTTTAAAAAGAGTGGCGGGAACGATAAAATTACCCGATCCGCCAAATCGAAATCACCACATTCAAATTGCGTTCCCTAATAATTGCACTATAAAATCCCAAACTCGACTTTCTTAACACACTTCTTGTTCTCCCGCCGTTTCTCAAACCCTAGCCAGCCCCTGTTTCTGCAATTTCTCTTAGAAATGTTGGAGCTTCGTCTTGTTCAGGGTTCGCTCCTCAAGAAGGTCTTGGAATCGATCAAGGACTTGGTGAATGATGCCAACTTTGACTGTTCGGCCACTGGATTCTCTCTTCAGGCCATGGACTCGAGCCATGTCGCCCTTGTGGCTCTTCTCCTTCGGGCGGAGGGTTTCGAACATTATCGCTGCGATAGAAACATGTCCATGGGAATGAACTTGAACAACATGTCGAAGATGCTCAAGTGTGCCGGAAATGATGATATCATTACAATCAAGGCCGATGACGGCAGTGATACTGTCACTTTCATGTTCGAAAGCCCCAGTATGATCTTGTTCTTTCGTCTTTTTATTTTCTTATTTGAATCATTCTACACTGTTGTGCCTCACCTTTGTAGTTATTTAGTCCTTGGTTTATCAGTCTACGTCTCCTCATCTATTTGAAGCTTTTTTACGAGTTTATTTTAAGATATCGTAGTTGCATATCAAGCTTCTTTTCGACTCGCAAATCTAGCATGATCATCTGGTTAATCTTAAGTGGTTGATTAATAGGAAGAATATCTAAAATTGAACTTTATATCTGCGAATAGCATGATCTTCATACTTTGTCTAACGTTTTGTCGATCCTCTAAAAAGAATGTCTCTGATTTATTGAGTTCATGATCTTTATATTTGGTTTAACATTTCCTCGATCAGCTTAAACTTCGATCTGCTTCAAGTTGTCCTGTCTTTCTGTCAATTCCAATTTTACATGCTTTTTCTCTGGATCTGGTTACTGTTTTTCACTAAAATGCTCTGGTCTTTACTTAAGCAAGCCTCTGACAGTTTATTCTTTTTTACCTTTTGTCCGTCCTACGCATGGTTCAGCTCAAGATAAGATTTCCGATTTTGAGATGAAATTGATGGACATCGACAGTGAGCATCTTGGAATTCCAGATGCGGAGTACCACGCTATTGTTAGGATGCCTTCTGCTGAGTTCGCTAGAATATGCAAAGATCTCAGCAGCATTGGTGATACTGGTATATTTTGATATCTTTCGATGGTTCATTAATTATTTTATATGATTAATTCTTGTTTTATAAGTACTTAATTACGTTCACCAATTTTTGCAGTTGTGATTTCTGTCACAAAGGAAGGTGTCAAGTTCTCAACAAGAGGTGATATTGGATCTGCCAATGTTGTTTGCAGGCAGAATACCACTGTAGACAAGGTCAGTATGTGTCTTAATGTCATAGGGTTCTAAATTTGTTCACTGAAGATGTTTTTGAATTCCAAATTCTGATTTCCCCCCGTTATTTGGTCAATTCAATGCAGCCTGAAGAAGCAACAGTCATAGAGATGAACGAGCCAGTTTCCTTGACATTTGCTCTTAGGTATATGAACTCGTTCACTAAGGCGACCCCTCTTTCCAACACAGTCACCATCAGCTTGTCTTCCGACCTACCCGTCGTTGTTGAGTACAAAATAGCAGAGATGGGATATGTTAGGTTTTACTTAGCTCCCAAAATAGAAGAAGATGAGGATGAGACCAAGCCTTAGGTCTAACAGTAGAGTTACCATTTGTTTCTAAATCATTTTAGGATGTGTTTGAACCTTTTTTTCTGTACTATAGCAGCTATGAGTTGTGATTTAGGAGTTTCTTAATGTCCAGTATCTACTTCTCTGTTTATGAGCTTCAAATTCTGATGTTTCCTCTTATCTTGTCATCATTTGATTTCAAGGTATGACATATTTGAGGGACTGAGATTGAATGTTTTGGGAAAAATAGGAGTAGGATTGAAGGTAATTCATGAGGAAGCAATGAAAATATGAGCATCCAATGGCTTCCAAGTGTTACTGTTTTCTCATATAATTTATGAGTTGAGGTGTGAGGAGGTTGATGGTGATCCTTTTCATTTTTCTTCATCGATATGTTCATACTTCGCAACTGAAATCAAATGAAATTGACAGGAAAAGGAAATCCAAGGAAAACCATTTTGAAGTTTGAGACTTCCCTAAACTTAATACTTTGTTTATAAAAGCTTAGATTAGCATATAATTATTGAAATTAGCGATAATTGATATATGTTGAGCTTAGGATGTGTAAGTAACAAATGGGTCGTTGGTTGTATGAAGGGATCTAAATATACAAATAAAGTTTTAATTTTGCGTGATTGATTCGTGATATCCTACCTTTGTTCTTCTGTGAAAATCTCTTCTTAATAGACATGCATTTTAAATATCTTATAGGTTGAAAATCTCTTTTTAATAGACACGTATTTTAAATATCTTCTAGACTAGGTGGTTACGAAAATCTCTTTTTAATAGACACGTATTTTAAATATCTTCTAAGCTAGGCGGCTACGTTGCTCTAGAATGGCAAATTTTTTAAAATATTTTTTAACAATTTGAAAATATATATATAAATAGAAAGGGTAAACAAAAGAAATGCACAAAAATTTCCCATTTTGACTTTGCCGCGGGGAGCAGCGAAATAGCAAAGCTAGAGAGAGACTCCAATGTCTGTCGCCAACAGAAGTGCGATCAGTGGAGCCCTACATTTCTCCCGGTTATCTTCTTCCTTTACCAGAAGCTTCACCACCTCTTCGCCGTCTCCCTCCACTCCGAACCCCAATGCCCCGACTGCTTCGACTAAAACCAAGCGGAGGAAGAAGAAGAAGAACCTGTTCGAAGTAGTTCAGTTTTTGCCCAATTGGGGAGTAGGATACCATGTCGCCAAGGCTCATTGGGATGAAATATCGTACCAGATCACCAAATTAAATCTGTACAAGGTATGTCTTCATCTTGTTTCTTTTCTTATATCAATGTATGTGGCGCTTCATTTGAGATCATTCCCTCTCTATAATCTGCACAAAGTTTTAAACAAATGGTTTTCAGTTTCTGCAAGTGCTTACCATTTCTTATGTGCATTCAAGTAAACACAACGGTGTTTACTTTAATCGTTTACGAAGATTTGTAGAATTTTAGACTACGGAGGCGTTTGAACTGGAAGTGTTAGATCTGTTTTCTTTCGATGCTCTCTGATTCAGGATTTAAGTTCTTTTTACTTTCGATTGTTTTATACAGAGTGGCACGCATGGCAAGGCATGGGGCGTTGCTCATAAAGATGGTTAGTGATTCTATATCGCCAAATTTGTTCCTCAATCGTTATTGGAATTTCATTTTGCTGGAATTTTGTTCTAATATTTATATAGAAGAATGAGCAACAATTGAATCTCTTGTATGTTCAAACCTAGGCTAAGTTCTATAATTTGGGACCATGACATCAAAGAGCTAATGCCTTACAGTTGATTTAGATGATGAACGTTGGAAAATTATTCAATATTCACTATTTACTAATCTTTGATTTTGGTGTTCTATCATAAATAGTCGGTAAGTTTTCAAGTTTTGAATTTTAAACCACGAGACGTCCTGAAAGTTTATGTGAGATCTCATGTCGATTGGAGAGGGAACGAAACATTCCTTATGGGTGTGGAAACCTCTCCCTAACAGACGTGTCTTAAAACCATGAGGCTAACAGTGATATGTAACGGGCCCAAACAGACAATATCTACTAGTGGTGGACTTGTGTCGTTACAGCTTAAGTTGTAGTTAGGTCAAGAAAGTTAGCCCTTGAGATTCATCCCTTTTGAACTCTCTACTGAGGCGACTCCGGACTCGGTTGCCAACCGTTATTGTATTGCTTACAAATGATAGTTAAAATAAATTTAAGTTTCTAGGACTTATCTTCCTGTTTGTTATTGTTGCTTGTTGCAAACTACTTCCATCAATGACAGAGGTTGAAACGAATGTATTTTCCAGGTACGCGTATCGCAGAAGCTCCGAAGAAGATCAGTGGCGTTCACAAGCGCTGTTGGAAGTATATCGCTAGCTTACCGCGTTCGGGAGACAGCGACCCATCAGCTGAAGTTCAAACTTCATGACTGCAGATTACAGTCCTTAAATATAGTCAGGTTTCTTAACTTCGTTATATGAGGGGCATTCTGTGATTTTATTGTTGAATAGAGGTTTAAGAATCTGGTTGATATTTGTGAATCAGTGTTTTTGTCCTGCTCCTGCTGTGAGATGAATACAATAATGTTTCCTTTTTTAAACGTGGAAAGTGTCGAAGAGTTCATTTGGGAAGAATTTAAAAAATAAATAAATAATTTCAAGAATTATAATCATTTTCTTTGATGTATTGCTGTGTTCATTCAAATGTAACTTTGTAAGAAAAACTTAATTGGTTCAATGAAAAATACCATTCAGTTCAGATTGACGTCTTGGGGAGTACGACGTGTGTTGGGTGAGCAACTAGCTTCCGTCTTAAGACCATCTCGACCAGGTTTTTGGAAATGACCAAAGAACAAAAAAGTCAAAAATAGATACAACATAAAATGTTCAGCCCACTTTAAAGACTTTCCAAGAACTTTCTTGGAGACCGCTTTAAAGACTTACCAAAAACTTTCTTCGGACGGAAAGTCTAGACTAGAGCCGACGACTCATGAAGAGCTGAACCGCCAGAAGCACAGGTAAGAAAAAGTCCCTCTACACTGCTAAACATTCTACAAAATTTGTATATACATTATATCAAATTCGAGCCATTGACTAATAAAACGCATAGTTATGTTACATGGTTGAACCCTTGAGTTAGTATAGTGTTTTTGTTTTCTTAAGTTGAACAATACGTGGGTGGAGATTCTATCTTAGTCAAAGTTAACGTGAACTAGTTGAAATATGTTCGAGTTGGTGAGAAAAAGATCATCCATTTAAAAGCTCTGGTTACCAATTTTCAGACAGTATTTTAAGACCAAAATGGTGGCAAAAATCAGTTTTCTTTGTAGCCAATCTCAGACTTATATCATTAAATTCATGAAGGAAGGAAGGAATATAACAAGAGATTTGACATCTGGAGCAGAACAGAATCAACAGATAGCTTTGTTGGGCAATGAAAATATAAATTTGCACCAACATCATCTCTCTCACAAGTTCAATAATCATACCCTTTTGGTGTTGCAGAAACTTAAAACAGAAAAGAAATATTTAAGAATAATAATGTTAAATTAAAGAGAAATACCTATACAGATTCAAGTTCTTTCTTTTTTGAATTCCAGGGTTGTTCCATCTCTCAGAGTTTCTTGTGCATCATTTTCCATTCCAAGGATGAAAAGGGCGGCAGCTTGAAGATACATGGCAGTTGGCCAGTCTGGTGACACTGCTTGCGCTTGCATAGCATCTCCTAGAGCTTCCTGAGGCATGTCACTCATCAAGTAACACAAACTACGTCTAGCAAACACTGTTGGTGATACCATGGTTCCTCCATCTATAAACTGCACATTCAAAAAAAGATTGTTTCAACTAACAACGTCGATGCCAGAAGTCTGATCATCAAAACATGTCGGTTCGACTCTTTTATGGTATTATAATCAATTTTCTCCACTACAGAATGAAAGGTGCCAAGAAATTGGATCAGCGTATTTCATCTTTAAAAGTTAATCACATACTTGCGTGTAGCAATCGATGGCATTTACGAAGTCTTTAGCTCGAAATGCCGAGTCCCCACGCTTCTTAGAATTGAGTGTTTCCTGTATTTGGCTTGTCCACATTTGGAAAGAAAGCTGAAAGACAAAGCAAACTCTTTACTGATGACCAATGAATTAGACCAACTTTTAAAAGGTACTTTCAGTTATATAAACAGAGGGGGAATTATGCCACTGAAAATTAGATGGGATTAACACGTAATGAACTTAGTTAATAAGCAGTTAGTGCACCTAGTTTCACCACCCTTTAGAATGAATAAAGATACATGGACAAATAGCTAGCCGCATTTTACTGGCATGGACAAGAAAAATGATAAACAGGTTCAGCCTAATTTCACGTCCCTTAAAATGAACAAAGAACTCCTAATAAGAATCTCCATAGTCGCTGATCTTAGAAAATTAAATTTAAAGTTGAATTTTCCAACCTCATTTGCAACTCCCTCATCATCCTTGTATCCAGCCTTCTCCAAAAATTCATGTATTGCAGTAAGATCCGTTCTTGAGCAAGCCTCCCCAAAAGGTGATAATGAAATTTGCTTAGAGGAAGCATTCCCATGCGAAATTCCCATAAGAACGTAAGAAGGAACCTGACATAAACCAGTGGATAGAACTGTATGAATTTGGACGATTCTCTTTTTTTTTTTCTTTTTTTGCATTGTTGCCAACCGGCTTCATAGAATATAATTGGCCTATGGCCTTAGCTGACGTACTGTAGCAAACATAGCCTCTTTTACAGACTATACTAACAAACCCGACTGTTATGGATAGCTAATACCAGGATATTAAAACAAACGTATGGTCATACTGTACCTCGGTTTCTTTCTGAAGAGCAGTGAGAGCAATTACAAGAGACTTGACATTTGGCCTCTCACGAAGTTCATACTGTAAACATCTTGAAGCCAACCTCACTAGTTCAGTCCCCTCATCATTAGAGAGATGACCTTCTAAACACGAGTCCATCAGCATCGGAAAATTTTTGGCACGTATCAGATCCAGTGCCTGAGAGAAGTGAACTTGATTAAAATTCAACATGAAGTTTCCAAAATTCAGAATGCAAAAGCTGTAATAATAAAGCCCAGTGCAATGCTCTTTAAAATGCTGATAATTAGTCAGAGCCACAGCCAAGTTACTGAAGCTAAATTTCTAGAAACAATTTTATTGTATAACATGAATTTCTGGAGTAAATTCTTTGGTTGTATTTCAGGATAAAGTCAAATCAAACTTCCACAAGAGAGAAACTTCTGAAGGAGGAAACAGTTTACATGGCTAGGGGGAATATGTTTGCCACTGAGAAGATCAAGCAATAGAGTGCCAAAGCTGTAAACAACACTTTCTGGCGTTATCCTCCCTGTCAAATGGAAATTCTACAATTAGCATAGTGCATAACGAACAGATGTGGCCATGCTGGTTATATATATACTCATGAAGCATTTTTTTAACAATGGCGTTGCTTGTCATTTACTGGACTAATCCTCTGTACTATATCTAGAGTCGTTACGTAATGTCACAGAAACCAATAACTTTTAGGAATTTTACCAACGAATCTCTACAATGGCTTAAACACGCCGTATCTAATCTTTAAATGTTCAATACCTGTCCTCATATATTCTGGAGGGGTGAAAGCCAGGTTGGTACTATAGCTCTTTCCATCTCTACTGTTCTTCATAAGGCCAAAACAGGAGAGCCTGGGATTACCATCCTGCTGGGTGGGCTAATTATTACGAGTACACGAAATATATCCAAAACAAAAAAAAATATAGAACTATAGAAACATGGTGGATGCATTTATGTACCTGATCGAAGAGAACTCTATAAGCATTAAGGTCATGGTACAATGCGCGTCCCTTACTACTGCAGTACTCCAAAGCTTGTGCTAGATATAATGCCACTCGAAGCCTCATTGCCCACTGCATGGGCTGCGTTTCCCCTACAAGAAAATAAACCCTCTAAGTATTCATATTAAATGACTAGAAAGGCACGTGAACTTAAGACTAATGGAGCCTAAAATGTGCTTCCCCCCATATCTGATAATGAAAAGCCAAAACCAAAACAATCATCATATATACGAAGTGTTTGTAACCAAAATTTCATTTCATCACCTAGTTTCTAGAAAAAAAGAAAAAAAGAAAAAACAGGGCAATCTAATTTCGATAAGGTCATTAATATAGAAAATTAACTAAAAGCGTACTCTTACATGCTTGCTTTTCAACCACCCTCAAGGATGCTATTAATTATATATTCTACTTCGAGATATATAAAGTATAACAGACAAACCAAAAAGAAAAAGCGAAATCCATGTAAAGAAGTTTCAGTATCATAAATGTTAATTTAAGCTAGAAAATTTACAATGAAAAAGGTGCCTGGAAAGAGTTTCATTGGGCATGAACTCAGCCACTAGCAATCTCTCATTGCCCTCGCAGCAGCATCCAATCAAATTCGCCAATCGCTGATTCCTTAGCTGCCCCACAGCTCTAGCTTCATCCTGAAAAGCCAAAACACTACTAACAATCACCTTAAACGTTCTTGCTTGGACAAAAATATGCATACTCACACAGTTCATTAACATTGAGACAATGCATAACAAAAATAAGCACAAAGCTCAAATCAGAGTAAATCACGGACTAGGAATTGGCGAGAATCGGGCCAAGCCGACTTGTTGAAGCGCTTCACAGCAATCACTCGGTCATCGTCAAGTTTTCCCCTATAAACAACATTGGGCGCTTTCTCTCCATGCTCAGAAACAATGTTCTCCGAAGAAAATCCCGAAGTAGCAGCTCTTAATTGATCGAAACTGTACTCGCAGAATCCAGGCAATGCGTCCTCATTATCTGCATTCACAACACAAATCTAATTCCAACAACTACAAATAAAAAATAAATAAAAAAACACATCAACAAATCAAAACCACAGAGTAAAACTCACCGGCGCAGGACAAATCGTTGAGATTAGATTCGATCTGAGAAGGCCAAAAACAGAGTCCAAATCTGGAGCAACGAGCTCCCATTGCAATAAACCAAAAATCAGATAGAAAAAACAACCTGTTCGTGAATCTTCCACCACCAAAATCACAACACAACTTCCTGTCGTAAATACACGCAAACTGAAGAAAAAAGTAACGGAGAAAAGGCGAGCTGCAGCAAGTAAGGAAGAAGTTGAAGTAGAGTTGCTGAGTGTTGGTTAGGGAATCGAGAAAGTAGAGCGTAACAAGAAGAAGGAAAAGGATTGACGCTTTTGTTTCTCCGATCCAAAGCCTCTGTTACCTTCTTCACTTTCTTACAACCTCATCATTTCGCTTCCTCTCACTGCTTCTCTCTCCTCTCAATCTTCTGCTTCAATTTCTCTCTCTTGTTCTTCAGTGTCTGCTACTGTAACTCGAAGCTGCGAGTTTAGTCGCGTAAGATGCACCTCAAACCGCCAAATTATAATAATACGAAAATCGGGACAATTTTGATGTCAGCGCGTGGAGTAATGTTTTTTGTTTTTTTCTTTTTTTTTTCATTCAGTTGAACGTTAAATTATGAAAAATACTTAATTTTACCGCTCATTCTAAGGGTAATCTTAATTTTACCGCTCATTACCATTAATTTTTTTTTTTAGTAAATATTTTAAAAATGGGATGAAAATTATGGTCACTTCATCTTATTCAACTTGCAATAAATAATCCATGACCTAACCTATAGTCTTATTTTGGGTTGAATTTGAGTCAACTCATTAAATTATTTTATTTTAAAAAAATAGTTTTTTTTTAATCTAAATTCTATTGAACTTTATGAGATTTATATTTCCTATTTAATTTAATTTTAAAAGTGTTTGATTTTTTTTTAATTACAAATGGAGGGTATTATTATGTTTATTTTTAAAAAGTTTTTATGTATATATATATTCTTACACTTTTTATTAATTAAAGATGAGAATAAAAAATTTAAATATCCTTGTTATGTATAGGTCCGACCAATCAATTTAAATATTGTCCAATCTAGCATTTTTTAACAAATTTTGACAACTAACCAAGTTTATATTAAGTCTGTGTCAAGCTTAGGTCAGTCTAAAGAGTCAGTATTTGTAAGATCCCACGTCAAAATCTCTCTCTAACAGACGTACTTAAAAACCATGAAGCTGAAGGTGATACATAATGGGTCAAAACGAACAATATCTACTAGCTGCAGGCTTAGACGGTTACAAATAGTAACAGAGTCAGATCCCACCTCAAAATCTCTCTCTAACAGACGTACTTAAAAACCATGAAGCTGAAGGTGATACATAATGGGTCAAAACGAATAATATCTACTAGCTGCAGGCTTAGACGATTACAAATAGTAACAGAGTCAAATCCCACCTCAAAATTTCTCTCTAACAGACGTACTTAAAAACCATGAAGCTGAAAGTGATACATAATGGGTCAAAACGAATAATATCTACTAGCTGCAGGCTTAGACGGTTACAAATAGTAACAGAGTCAGATCTCACCTCAAAATTTCTCTCTAACGGACGTACTTAAAAACCATGAAGCTGAAAGTGATACATAATGGGTCAAAACGAACAATACCTACTAGCTGCAGGCTTAGACGATTACAAATAGTAACAGAGCTAGGCATCAGACGACGTGCCAACGAGGATGTTGCCTAGCTCTGTTGGAGAGGGAAACAAAACATTCTAAGGGTGTGGAAAACCTCTAGCTAACAGACGCGCTTTAAAACCATGAGGCTGACGACGATATGTATCGGGGCAATATATGCTAGTGGTAGGCTTGGGTTGTTACACTACTATACCATTCGATATCGTATGACATTATTTAATGAATGATACCACGATATGGGCAAACATGTCTCCCAAAGATTCAATTTCTTTGGAGAATCAAGGCAGATTCAGTTGTGGCCACAGCCAACAGTAATCTAGAAAATAAGAACTGTTCCCTACAAAAGAAAGAACATCTGGAATTAATCATTATCACAAACAAAAGACACATAAAATTTGACTGATTTATTGAAGGCTCCTGCACTAGCAGCATTTGGCCTCTATGCCTATGCCTTTGCTATCATTGGCTGCAACAACAAGCACAAGGGAAAGGGGGGAAATGATGAAGCCCACATGGGGAAATGGGTAAAAAAAAGGCAAGGGAAGGCTCCAACTTTAGAAGGCAAAAATTAAATAAAACCACAGCAGAAGAGAGAATGGGGATCATACTCTGCTTGCCCACTTACCAACATTATACACACCAAAAAGGGGCTTGAATTCCGAGCTAAGATTAGCTTATAGCTGAGCTGCTTCCTTGTTCTTCACCATCAATGTACCACGTTTTCTGTCAAAGCTGTAAAAATTAGTCAGCATAGGAAACAGTCTATCAAGTACAACAATTTCACAAGTTAGAGATGAGATGAATACCTGTGTTACCTGTGTGCCTTTTCTCTTTCTTTTTGTTTCTCTCTTTTTTCTTGCTCATGATGCATTTTAGAGAAACCAACAAGAACGTATATGCAAGAATAGACATTTAGGAGAAGAGAGGGAGACATAATTATATTCTACCGTTATTAGAGGGCATGCAGATTTTTTAATCCATGTCTAACGGTTATTATGAGATAGTCGAGATGAGTAGCTTTTTCGTTCATTGAGTTTATATGATCCAATGTTCTAAAACTTATGAACCTACAAATATATCACAAACTCTCGGACTCACAAACTAAATGCATGTTACCGTATGTAAACGAGTTTATATAACTCGGTTCCCCCCACAATTCATGTGAGATCCCACATCAATTAGAGAGGAAAACGAAACATTCTTTATAAGGGTGTGAAAATCTCTTCCTAACAGACATGTTTTAAAAACCTTGAAGGAAAGTCCGAAAGAGGACAATATCTGTCAGCAGTGAGCTTAGGTGATTACAAATGGTATTAAAGCCAGATATCCAGCAATGGAGAACGCTGAGGCCTGAAGGGGGTGGACACTGGGCGGTGTGCCAGCGAGGACGCTGGGCTCCGAAGAGGGTGGATTGCGAGTTCCCACATCGATTGGAGAGGAGAACGAAACATTTTTTATAAGGGTGTGGAAACCTCTCTCTAGCAGATGAATTTTAAAAATCTTGAGGGAAAACCCTAAAAAAAAATCCAAAGAGAATAATATCGGCTAGCGGTTGGACTATTACAGATCAAATAAGAGGTAAACAAATTCAAACTTCAACTCTACAAAACACAAATATAGATATATTAGAATGGTAAGTCAAACTACGTCCTGATCCCTTAAGAGCATGACAGAAGAAAGATTTGGAACTGGTACTGGAAGAAACCCAAGAATAGTAATGTGATGTAACTGGTGGGTTATGCAAATTTTCACCTTCAAACTTCAATGAAAAGGGAATGTGCCTAAAAAAGAAGCTAAAAGGCAGGACGATCAGAGAGTAAAACTCAAGTGGGGTATCTCAGACAAGAAAGACCATTAAACAGAGCATCATCGTGGGCCTATGCCAGACCTAGCTGCCTAAAGGAGGCCACATGACACATGCAGCCTCCTCCATTCGCTATTTAAAATATAGGGAAAAAATTGACGACTCCATACAAAGATTAGGGACGAAAAAGATGAATATCAAAAGTTCTGTAGTTCTCTATTTGACAACATAATACATCACACTCTCAGTCTCACCCACACATTTCCATTCAATTTTGTTTGAGATAAGGACGGAACGTGGTGTGTGGTAATGAACATGATGAAGAGAACATTGGGTGATGATAGTAACATATTTTGAAAGGAAGCATGCCATAACTTGAAAAGGAAATGAGCATAAAATAATTGAGAACTTGTCATGTATAAGGATAGCTAAATGGTAAGATTTTCTATCATCCAAAGAAAGTTAGGATCACAAGTTACTGATCCTTCGAGTCATTGTCATCGTCAAATTAACTCGACTGGCCTAAAGGACGTTCTGGAAAGGTTTGTCCAACAAAACAGTTGAGAACCAGTTTTGCAAGCCAAAAGCTTAAATTTTATCCTAGATGAAAATGTGTTGCAACAACACAATGGGAAAAATCATTGTTCTTCATAGTCTTAGAACAATAATCTTGGTTTCTTCATGTTAACCAAAGAATCTAGATCCTTAGCTATTGTTCTCGATTAACGATCCATTAAGGGTGAAAGAATCATCGTATGCCCCAAAAGATAGATTATTACAAGTCATACTTGACATTCTGGTATCTACTTCAAAAGAAACTATCAAAAACTAACGATAGGTGGTAAGGGTCGAGTTATTGATGTAAGGTGGATTAAAAAGAGAAAAAAAAAAGGAATTAAAGTATGCAATGAGATAGCAAGAACTTTACACATTCCACTCATGGACATGCACACTTAGATGGATATTGATTGCTTCCCTTAAAGGTACATACTATACTTTTCCTCTATTGTCGACAAAAAAAAATTAAAAGCTACAAAGACCTTAGGATCTATGTATAGATTGACCACTAATGAACAGAGATCTAAAAAGAAAAGGTTCTTCAGGTTCTGGATCTATCTGTGAAGCCCGATCAACAATAGTAAAATGAGATTGCCGGGCCTGGAAATGTATACCTGATATCATTTACACGTCTAAGGAAGTTCAGATTTCCAGCTAGACCCTTCCAAAAGGAGAAAGTGGCGGACAAGTTATGTGTTCTGCAGGATCCTCTCTTTCAGCAAGATTGGGAGTCCACAATCCATCATTGTGTATTAACTTTGATTCTCCAGAAGTCTTTGCTTCAAATAAGATACTTGTTTCTGAAAGTTCGCATGAGTTCTTACCGTCTATCATTGCCAGACAAATGGAGAACGCTTGCAGAAGCGACAAAGAAGAATCGAACTCAACTGAGTATATTGTATCTTTGAAAGTAGCCAGATTCAAAATGCAATGGTTTTCGGGTACTCCGTCCTGCAAGTGAGCAAAGGATCAAAAAGATCAGACTAAATACAATGCAATGACCATAATAACAAGCTTTCGAATTAGATTGGAGAAAACATTCATACCTGAGGGAAAAGCTTAAACTGATCTGTTATTGGAGAACGTTGCGATGAACTCGACTTCTCGATTATTTGATTCTGATTGGTAAAAACCCTGAGTTTACAACCTAAATCCCAGCCCCCACAGTCGCATGATCCACCAGAATTCCATCGCTCTATTAGCGATGAAGGTCCACCTTTACTCGGGAGGCTATGGATACCACTTGGGAGTAAAACTGTGGTAGTGATAAAGGGCTCACTGCCCTTGGAACGAGGAGAACATTCTCTAGATTCACCCTTAATCAAGTTGTTGTAAGCATTTATTTTAACTTCATCAGTAGCAGTGCCTTCCTTGATTTTTAGGGGAAATTTAACAATTATAGCTGCTAGCTCTTCATTTGGTAGGAAATCTGAGGTCTGCTGATCTGCCTGTCTCAAATCCACAGAAAACAGGACAAACTCTCTGGTAGAAGGCACATCTGGTCTGGTAAACCGGGAAATCGCTGAATCAGAAACGTTCATTTGTGCAATGACATTGGAGACATAATCACGACCTTTCCCCTTGCTACCTTGATTTATCCAACTTCCAGTCTTTCTTTTAACTTCTTGAACAATGAAGAAGGTAAAAATATGGCTAACTGTCCCTTTTCTGGAGCTCTTCACCGTAGCTGCAAGAATGTTGGCGACATTGTCAACTGCAAAAGTAAACAAAGGCAACCCATTCTTAAATGCAACTTGCAGAAGGGCATGAACTACAGAAGGTCCGTGCTTCTTGTCGAGAGATGAATCGCTGACACTGATTTTCCTGCATCTGCTCATGTCTAACTTATGTTTCATTGATTGTATTGTTGACGATTCTGATTGTCGATTATATGTTTTATCAGGCATGTGATGCAAATCTTTCTCTACGGGCTCTACAGCATGATGATATACTGCAGCCTTTGGCTTTAGTAAAGGATCCAGCAACCTTCTGAGAGGGCTGGAACTAGCTCTGCCTGTGTTGCTGGGTTTATCATTCCTCAACTCATTCAAACAAGCTGAAGGCATCACATTCTCAGATCCAGATTGGACAGATACGCGTGCTGAACCTTGATCACTGTCGCATGAATTCCCCACAGAACTTGAACTTTTACGTCTCCTACCCATGCCAATGTTTAATCGACTAAAGGGAGAAGAGCTTCTGGATTTGTTAACAGAAACTGTGCTTGCTTTCAGATCCAATCCAATAGACGCCAACTTGACCGTTGAATTTAAAGGTGCAACAACTGATGTTTTTGCGTCTGATATTCTAGCTTGAGATGGACTATGTCCTGCTCCAGCTGACCTGGATACAGTGGGAGAATTACTGGATGCATTTATAAGGAAATTGTGCTTCAGCAGAATCTGATCTCCATCAGCTTCACAAGGTGTATTGCTCGAGTTTGGGATATCAGAGTTGAGCTCTGCAGAAAAACTCACTGTAGACCTCTTCATTGAGCTTTTCTGACATGCTTCTTTGGTCCTTTGACTTAATAAGAGTGTAGAATCTGAAAGCTCACAGACATATGTATCATTCTTTTTCACTAAGTTGCTGGGCAAAGGGACAATTGCGTCATGTTTTTCCAGCACATCATGCGCAGCTGCAGAATCTATTTGTGCACGAGACTTATCTACTCGATTAA